CTCTCTCTCTCTCTCTCTCTCTCTCTCTCTCTCTCTCTCTCTCTCTTTCTCTTTCTCTCTCTTTCTCTCTATCTATCTATCTTTTAACTCATCAAGTCAATTTGCACTGCCCATATACACTTGGATGTGTGTTCATCTACTGGAGTATGGTTGACCTTTCAGGAGACACACCCTTGATGAAAACTGATGCTCTTCTCCCAACAGCTAGCAGTTGTCATAGTTACTCAGCCAGGGATGAGACTTCATGCCCACCTCCTATCTTCATTCTAGGATTTTGTCCGGCTTGTGCTTGTGCAGTTCTTTAATAATATTTCAGACACTTTCTTCTAATTTAAATATTACAAGTGATTTTTAAAAATACTGACAATATAAACCTTAACTTAGTGTTACTGTTATTCTTCAATTAGTATGGTTTTAATATTGATCGCTTAATTAAGGTCATTATTTTTATGCCTCTGAGTATAAGGAATTAACATTTTAGAACAAATTTTATTGTAGGTTAATCAATACATTTGGTAAATAAGTAGAAACATTCTTTATTGAATAGCAGTATTGTTCATGCTTTTGTTAAACTTAGCAAAAATGTTTCATTGATTCATTCACTCAGTAAATAGTTACTGAAATGTTCTATATTGAAGGACATATTCTAGAGGCTGATTAAGTCTGATTTTAAACTGGTGTTTACTTTCCCACACTTTCTCCTTGTGTTGGAAAAAGCACTACATGACCTGACTAGGATATGAGTGACCATCCTACTAGACACATCTGACTTCCTTTGATTTTCTACATTTCTTTTCCCAAAATTTTGTTTCTATGACTAGTCTGAAGTGGTTGTAGACTGAAAGTCAAACAACTAGGGAAAAATCTTCAAACAATTCTATCAAATGAAATCCCTCTTCCACATCTCTAGGTAAATTCTCAGATGGTACCCACAAGGCTCAACACAGTAGCATCAAATCAACTGTACAAATGCTTGGGAGTTTAAGATGCATTGCCCTGACTCTCTAAGACCTGTACAACTTTAGAACTATTTGTGCATGCACAGCCTACAATGTTTTTAAGATTTCTAATTAAGGCATTTCTCTCTCTCTCTCTCTCTCTCTCTCTCTCTCTCTCTCTCTCTCTCTCCCCCCTCTCACACACACACGCACACACATAAAACTGCTAATTTAATTATACTAACATCTTTTCAAAAGACATGCAGTTAGTAGGAATGTAAACTGGTACAGGCTCTGTGGGAAACAGTGGAGTAGTTCTTGAATTCAAAATATAATTGGTATACAGCCAGCAATTCTGCTCCTGAACACATAACTAGAGAAAATGGAAAGGGATCATAATCGTACTACTTATGATAGCTTAGAGTTGGAAGGGACCCGAGTGTCCATGGAAGGATGTGCAGACCCTCACAGGCATACTGTTTAGCCTTCTCAGGAAGGGAAAGTTTGGCATACGCTGCAGTATGGAGAAATTCTGGCAACATGACGCTAAGCAAAAAATACCACAATCACAAAAGACAAATATTTGGAGGTGGGGCATTTGGTTACTTGAGGTCCATGGCCAAAATCCATAGAAGCAGACAGTGCAAAGGCAGACACGGAGGTTGGGGACAGTCATTGTTTTCAGGGTGTGACGTGTCAAGTTTGCAAGATGAGAAAAATTCTGAAAATGAATGGTGGTAGTGCTTGCACAGCCATGCAAATATACTTCATGCCAATGAGATATACACTTAAAAATGGCTACAGTGCTTAGTTTTTATGTCATGAATATTTTATGGCAATTAAAAAAATTAAAGCCCTCATGATTATAATTGATGCTACTATTCTTTAATGCCTAAACAGAAGAATGCTAAAACACAATAAAGAAAGAACGTGAGTAAGTGAGTCAGGGTGAGGAACTAGCCTTAATGTCACCAGGATCTTGCTCTGGCCCCTGACTCCTAAGGCCTTGCAACCTCCTTTGAAAGAATTCAGAGAAGACACAAGGCACTGTGTGGAGGACAGGTAGAGTTTATTACAGAGCATTCTCAAGAGTGAAGGGAAGCCAATGACTAAGAGCTGAGGGCAAACAGAACACAGAGTAAGTCTGCAGCCTTGTCTTTTACCAGAATGCCTCCACTGGTTAGACAATAATATTATAGGCTTGATGGCAGTTTAGAACACCATGTCACCAAGGACCAAAAAATTAAACTCAGATCCGATGTTTTACCATTTGAGATATCCAAGATTATCTTGAGTTTGCTACAAAACCAAGGATGACCTTGAATTCAGACATCTGCCCTTCTTGACTTTATTTCCCTAGAGCTGGGATTACAGGACTGTATCATCATTCCCAGTTTACTGGGTGCTGGGGATGGAACCCTGTGGTGCAAGCACTCTGCCAACTGCGGCATCCCAAGTCCAGACTCTATTCTTTGGACCAATAATCCAAATCCTGTCCTTATAGTTTCTGGTTTTCTAAGCTGCTGATTAAAACGGAGGAATTCAGCTGGACCCTGTGACATACAATTCTGTTGATATCTGACTGTCTAACACTATGACATTATAC